GTGGGTAACTTGATCATTTTCATGTGCCATCAAACATAGAACACTTTTTAGTGCAAATGCATCACTTGTGCATTTACAGACTTTAGTTTAGGGACTAGTTCTCACTATTAACTAGCTGCTTATTAGCATGTAGCATATTGGCTGTTTATTAGTACTTATAAAGCAGATATTAATGCCTTATTCTGCATGAGCATATTTTAGATAATCTAACCCTACCTAAACTTAACAACTACCTTACTAACTAATAAGCAGAACATTAAGAGTTTATTGAAGGAAAACTATTTGTTTTTAGTTAACAGTGAGAATTGGACCTTAAAATAAAGTGTGACCTCAGACGGTACTGATAATACATAATGATTCTTGCATCTGTTTTTTTTTTATAAGAATAGTGTACAAAATAATTTTGTAATATATTTCTGCAACTGTGTGTAAATATAGTTAAGTTTCAAGTTTCAAGCCAACAAATGATGTCAATTTAAAGGGCAGAAAATCAGAGGTTCATAGAAAAAAAGGGCATTTCTAAATGATCATTTAGTTTCAGACAGATGGGAAAAATAAAGTGGTTGAAGTAGCTTCAAAAACAGAAACGCAGCATCCATCAGCTGAACTCGGGCTCTTTCAGTGAAGACAGCGTCGTTGATTATAATGGGAGTGATTTAGTTTGGACGTGTTGTGATGTTGCTCGCATCTGATGGAGACAAGTTCTCAAGCCATAATAGAAACACACTAATTTGCTGTCTTTGCTACATACTGTATGTGAAACGCTTAAACAAAGTGCATAATGCATGTGCATTTATGGTTCAAAAATATGCATCTACGTCATGGACAGCTCTGGTATGATCCTGAAAGGTTTGTTTTGCGATAATGACCGGCTGACTGTACATTATCCAGCTAATTACTGTCAGCCAATCATTATCACAAAATAAATGGACCTTAAATATAAATTTTTGGCCTTTATTTTTTTGGTCAGTGTCAAATCACTGTGTAATACGACGGACTAGCACAACTAAATTCCACCACTGACCAATCAGAATCTGAATGCTGAGAGTGCATGTCTCTACTGAGATGTTCTGCTGTTTGTGTGAGTTTGGTTTATTTACCGGGGTCTGGGTGACTATAATTTCGCCACCTGTAATGTAACGTGAGAGCATGTGGTTGTGAGAGTGCTTCTGTTTTGAGACGCTACTCTAGATGGAGTATTATTAGGTTCTGTTGGGAGCCTGCTGATAGCATGTTTCTCAAAGACACACTCACAGTGAGTGGGTCACCTCACACCGGCGATGAGTCTATTATGTGTGTCTAGCTCCGTCTCTGTGTCTCTGGTGTGATGCTGATGTTTGTCAGCTGACAGCAATCTACCTGACCCATCTTTACCTCCCCGTCCTCCAAGCCTGGAGCTAATTGAGCCGAAACACACACCTCCACTTACACACAGAGCTGAAGAAAACCAGAGCTATTAGATGCAATTAAGGAAAGAAAAACAAAAGGCACCGAAAAGCTTTTAGCTGGAGTCTGAGTTCAGATGTGGCACTCAATCATTTTTGCCTGAGATGATGCCACATCAGTGCGTGTGCCGTCGAGAGTGTATTTTTGTTTGCCTCATTAGTTTTAGTGTGGGTGATTAGCCTTTATTCACACTACACACACTACAATTCCAAATCCAATTTTTAGAACTGACTGTTCGCACTGTTATTTAACAAGTAATGAACCCCAAACAGATCCAAAATCCCAACCAGGCTCATTGGAAAAACCTGCCTGTGGCGACATTTCTGCAAAATAATATTACATTGCTTCTTGCATGTTTCCCGACACTTTCAAAGTGAAACGCTCAGTGAGTGGTGCTACAAGCATGTTCAGTTTGATCAGAAATCTGACGCTGCTTTGTTACGTTGGTTGTTGTACGTATCGCTGCAGTTCAAAAATTAAATGCCTGGTGAGTGGCGGTAAATTAGCTTAAAGGGGTCATATGATGCGATTTCAAGTTTTCCTTTCTCTTTGGAGTGTTACAAGCTGATTGTGTAGCCTTTGAAAATAACGTACCACCTACACTAAACCTAACAACCGATAGTGTTAACAAAAGCAAATGCGAGATAACCAAAAACTGAAGCAGGCATGACAATTTTTGAGCTCTTTTATTGTGACTTGCATTGCGAGTGCAGTGCTATAACCGGGTGTGCTACCGAGCAAGTTTACTATTTGAGAAAAGCCATATACTGTATATTGAGCTGATTATTTGATGTAAATGTCAAAGTGTATTAGTTTAAGTGGTAAATTTGTTTTGAGGTCATAACATAGTATTGTAGTAAAGACGTTAAGAATTAGGAATAAAAATGATTGGTGTTTTACTGCCACTAGTGTTCATTTCAGCCAAACTGCAATGGATTGTAAGTATACTGTAGGGATGTTTTTGGAGCTTTCCAAAAATGTAGGTAGAGGCTAGGGCTGTGCGACTTGGGGGAAAATATCAAATTGCGATTTTTTTGACAGATATTGCGATTGCGATTTGATTTGCGATTTTAAATTTGCAAAGTCAAGCTTCAGCTCAATATTGCCAATAATGTGCAGCACAGTATGGGTATCATTACCCTGCTGAAAAAAACAATAGAAACTATCACAGAAATTCTTATAGTTTCCATTAAACCATTACTGTAACGAATCATCCACTGAGGGCGAGAGTAGTGAAGAACCCAAGTGCAGTTTATTTACAGTGTGATCCAAACAATAATCCGAGACTTGACTTGACATGAACAGACTTGACATGAACAGACTAGACTCACCAACAGCGGGATAAATACATTCAATACACGACGACAGACAATGGCAACATGATGGCTACTTATAGGAAACAAGAGCTGCAACTCAAGGCTGGCAGTCATGCATATGCTCTGGAACAGAGTAATATCGCGTCCATATCGCAGGCTTTGCGATTAGGAAATCGCAACGTCTCAAATCGCGATTTCGATTCGATTTCGATTAATCGCACAGCCCTAGTAGAGGCACATTTTTCCAATCAGCCTAGACTGAGGTAGAGGTCTGCGCGGGACTGTTTTTTTAGTCCCGCTCCCACAAGGTTCTATTCCGCACCCACCCGCTCCGCTATATATTCACTCTTTGTTCACCCGCTGTCCGCTTAAAATAATTTTCTTCCCGACCCGACCGTTCCCGCTAAATTTAGATCTCGTTTCCAGAATCTCACTTTGAAATTTCCGCTACTGAAAGAAAGAGAGATAGGCTGACAAATAAAAGTGTATTCTGCACAAAATTGTGTTATTTTTTCATTTAAAATTATAGGCTAAGCAAAATATAAACAAAACCGAGTTGAACGTCCTTCAAGGACAGCGCATCCACACTTTGCTCCATCCTTATTCTGCTCTGTCACTCATCGACAACCTGCCTGTTCTGTCTGAGGGCCGTATATTTACCACAGGTACAGCCTGCTCTGAGCATCGTTATGCACATGCTGCGTTATGCAGACCATGCAAATAAAACGTGTGACGTTTAAAGTATGCGTGCAGCACGTGCATAACAGTCCTGAGCGCAAGCTGTACCGGTGGTCAATAAGAATAAAGCACAGATACCCGCGGTTCCCACGGGAGAGCTGCGGGAATGCAGACCTCTAGACTGAGGCCCCGTCCACACGGAGACACGTTTAGCTGTATACGCATACATTTTGTATCGTATAGGTGTTTCGTCCACACGGATCCGGCGTTTTGGGAGAGTGAAACTGATATTTTTTTAAATTGGGTCCCAGAGTGGATAAATCTGAAAACGCCGCCCTTGCGCTTTCATGTGGACAGCGAATCCGTATATTTTCTGAAACGATGACGTCATCAGCCCACATCTCGCCCCTAGTCAGACACCGCTACGTCACGTAACAGCAACAAAAACATGAACAAACACTGAACGATTGTCTTTTTATTAACTAACATTAACACAGATTAATAAATGTATTGTTCCATGTTCGTTTGTATACCGCGCGCAAGGTTTATGTGCATAGTCCAAGTCTTCTTCTCCGTTTTAGTGTATCTCTGTGGCAGAATTACAGCGCCACATGCTGGTCTGGCATGTATACTACATCGTTTTGTGTCGGTTTTGTGGTTTCGTGTGGACGCAGATATTTCTTGAGACGAGGGGGAAAAAAAGATCGGATAGGGAAAGTTCTGGCTTCGTGTGGACGTAGCCTGAAAAACCCAAAATAGATTTATTTTTCTCTCTGCAAACAACTAAACAGATTTGAGTCGGATATGCAAAAAATCAGATTTTAGCTGCCTGTCTGAACAAAGTTTTTCTTCTCAGTGAAAGACGCAGAGTCCCGTATCGCTCCTGAAAGGTTACTGTTACAAAGTAAGTCGTAGTTTTGTGCGGAATATTTAATTACTCGAACAAAACAGCCCTGAGGTTCCTTTTCCACTACAAAGCTAGCAAACTCACATAAAGTTATTTACAGAAATACATCTGCCTAAAGCAGCAATCATCCTACTGTTCTCATAAAAAGTTATGAGTGTGATCAAAAATGTGGAGCTTTTGGCTGTTTGTTGTTTAAAGAGATCATTATCAACTCATTTTATTTTCTTCCCTGAAGTTCTCTCAAAATGTTGGTCAAATTTTAATGCACCAAAAATTTAATGCACCAAAAATAGACGCAGTTTAGCTTCAAATTATAATTTTTTTCACCGACGCTTGCAATTAAGCAAGCTGTTTTCACTACTGCACCTTTAAGACGTCTTTATTCAAGTAGCTTCATGGGAAATCATTAAATGCGTCACCCTGGCCTAGGTGTCGCCATGCATGTGTGAAATCATTGTAAATTTCTACACGTTTACAAGTTCAACTTCAATTGAAGTATGACTTATGTTGCACTTTCCCAAGTAGGATGTTGGAATATATTACTTTTCAGAATATTTCAAAAGATCAGTTATACTGACCTACAAAAGCAAAACGCAATGTAAAGTGACCATCTAAATATAGTTTGGTTCTAACAGTGTGTTCTCTCTGTCCAGCTGGCTGCACGTTTGAGGAAGACTCCGACCCCAGCCTATGTGAATACAGACAGGCACAGGAAGATGATTTTGATTGGCAGCTTGTACGGACCTACAGCTGGCCTCACATGACCTCTGACCTTACACGAGGTGAGTTCTGTTGTACTGCTGGGCTGTAATGAACGCTCGATTGTAATATGAATGTTTCCAATATGTGATTTGGCTTTATATGTAAAACCTAAGAAAGCACTGCATGTATCCTTAATGGATAAAGCAATACCAGAATGCATTGCAAAATGCAAAAACAAAACAAAACAAAAAAACAGATAGAATATAATTTTCTTTTATTCTGAAAAAACAAAAATAGTTTAATCTGAGGCACTGTACAAAAAAAAAAAAATCTCTCAAAATGAGTTTCATAAGTATGGAGCCATCAAAGGGACATGGTGATGTGGTAAAAATGGAAATGAGGGCAAAAAAATTATATTTCATTGCCTTTGTGTTCTCTCACAAAATGCCTCCCATGCTGGTGACCCGGGTCCGTGTGCCACTCAAAGCGGGGTGGTTAGGACCGGATGGGTTACATTTGCATCCTTTCACAAAACATTTGTGTTCATTTTCAAAAGTATGGCATTCCCTGAGTAACTTTGCCTTCTTTTGCAAAACATTTGTGTTCATTTGCAAAAGTATTGTGTTCCCTCAAGTAACTTGACATCTTTCGCAAAACATTTGCGTTAATTTGCAAAAGTATTCCAGTCCCCTGAGAAACTTTGTGTTCACACTCAAAACCACTGAAATATGGCTTTCCTTCCATCTCATATTTGTTTCCATCACCGTGTCTCCTTTAGGAACTTCTGTGGCTAGGTCATTTTGTGCTGGAGTGTCATGATTTTAGATTAGCAACATGCTAACACTAAACTCTATTTAGTGAGAGAGGTAGCCTACTGCCTTTTGTGCTTTAAAACAAATGATTGTTAAGATGTTGCCTTAGATGGTAGCAGCTTATGTAGCTCCAAAGTAGCTTACTCGTTTTTGAAACAAAGCTTGTGTAAACATGCAACTTTAAGTGTCTTTGTTCTTCTAACTCCTTATTGTAGGAAGAAAGTATGTTTCAAAGAGGAAATACAAACCTCATATTTTTATCCTGACCACAAGCATAGAGTGTTATGGCAACTCATAGTGTCAAGTGTTTTTGGTAATGTCAGAAATACACTGTGTCCTTCCAATTATAAATGTGCTTTTAGTATCACTTCAGGCCGTGTCCTGCTGTTCAGGTTGGAGTTGTGTGTTAACATGCTTAGAGTTCAGATGGTTTTCAGCGGCAATTGTACTTCTGTCATGACAACTCTCGGAGGGATTGGCATGGTAATGTACATGACAATGTTAATGTATTTGGTCTTGGCGGAATAGATCTGCTACGCTGCTGCTGCGGCAGAGCAAGTACCGAGACTTGCTACTGCCAATACATCCACAACATGCTGCTGTGAGCATGTAAGAAATATTGCTGCTGCAAATATAACATACATAAAATAACCCCCATATAGCATACATGAATCAACTCATAGCAGATCTATACAGGTGGAGCTGGGGAAGGTGGAGGGTTTCTAAAGCAAGCTGCAACTGTTACGGCAAGCACTAGTCATATATTTGAATGTTGAGCAGCGAGCTCATTGGCTACCGATACAGGAGAGAACCAATCAGCTGTGCCATGTGATAATGATGTCATTAGGTCAGATTGAGTTAGACCTATCGGACTACGCCATCTAGAGTTTCATGCCAGAACTCTGTATTTCTCCGCAAGGTACATGGGCAGCTACAGAAACACACAGGGCTTTTTCCTGCTTTAATAATGGCAATCGAGTCTAAATAGTAATTTGTATGATGTGAAAATGTGGACGCTCTTGTGTGCATTATGGGTTTTTACACATCTAAGTGCTCTCACAGACACAATTGTGTTTTGTAATGTTTGTTTTCATCAGTATAGTCAGTATCCATGAATCATCATACAGTTGAAGAAATTCTGCTGTTTTATTATTATTGTTTTTTTTTACCAAGATAACAATATATCTGTGTGCGACACTATTATTATTATTATTATTATTAATGTGGTTTTCCTGTCACAATTGTGATGAACAGATTAAAAAAGTATGAAAAAAACTATGATGAGCAACTTAAAACCTAATTAATGATAGCAGCAACCAAATCTGCACTGATGCAAAACGTATTGTTTACTCGTTATGAAAAATATTTTTGTGTGTGTTCATCAGCTTTCACATAAAAAGCTAATCAAATTAGTTAAAATACCTTTAATTTGTAAAATATTTAATTCATTGCATTGCCCAATAGTCATTACCATGTGATTATTAATATAAACTATTTGATGAAATAAAAAATTAAATTAAAAAAGAAAGAAAAACTGTATTACTACAACTGCATATGCCATTATTGTGATCTAATACTACTCATAGTGTGCAATATAAACTGTCCATGGATCCATTCTAGTGGCACATAATGTTGTTAACTGAACATAAGAAGCTTGAAGACAATCTGCGGCACTTTGCGTTGACATTTCTTTGAGTAGCCATCCAATACTGCACTTATCTGGAGGGTTCAATTCCATCAAAGCTGCTAAAGACACTCCAATTGAGACAACAGCTTACTTTATTGGGAGCTATTTGGTCAATATTATTGATCCATACTGGGGTATGTTCAGCATGTCAATGAAGGGGAACTGAGAAACAGAGAGAGAGGAAAGGTAGGCGGGTGTAATGTGGGTCTAACACAACAGACAGGCTCTGTAGCATACTGATACTTCTGTGAAAACTCTAGTAATCTTTTGTATTTCAAGTTTTACACTTTTTCCTTCGATTCAATTCAAGGTTTCACATGTTGCCTTGAAAGGTGCACTAATTAATTCTGTTCTGTACTTCTGCAAAAATTCTGTTTAAATTAATGTACGAGATGAAGATTTGCTGGTTGAGTAAACAATTAATGAGTAGCAAATGCACTTTGAGTATCTCCCCCATCCCCTGGTTGATCTGGTTTTGCTGAAACTATGACGTTTCCCTGATAAAAGAACACTGTTAAAGGGATAGTTCACCCAAAAATGAACATATTTCATCATTTGCGCACCCTCATGTAATTCTAAACATACCTGACACGTAGAGCACATCAAGTATGGTAAATGGAAGTGGTTGCTTGACATGCAAATATTTTTGAGATTCTGCAAGAACCAACAAGGTTTGTTCTTATGCATTAAGCAAAGACATTTAAGTTTAATTTACCATATTTGATGTACTATACGCATGCGCACTGATCAAGATTTATATGTGAATACAATCATAAATTAAATCTGCTCATCATATAAAGCATCTGTGACTCTCAAATTTTATGGATTACTTTTTTTAACTGTTAATCAAGTTTTTGAAGTTAGAAGATTTTGGTTCTATAGATTTTCAATGCGTGGACAAAAATGATGAGAGAATAAATATCAGCAATGCTTAAAGCCTTCAAAGGTATACATAGTGTATATTATAATGTATCATATATTTTCATATATTATTGTAACCACAGTTAAAATGCATAATAATTTTTGAAGATTCCTTGATACATGTGAAATCATTTGTTAATCGGTTTTAATGCATTATACTTTCTAAAGGCATAACACTCAATAGATAATAATATAATGTATTATAACTGTGGTTACAGTTAATTATGAGATCATAAAATGTATTATAATGTGCATTAAAAGGCATAGGACTAGGCAATAGTTCAATTAGGACATTTAAGTAATTTTTATTAACGTGCCTTAGAAAAAAACATCACTGGTGTGCATTTTGAGACAAAACAGAGGCACTGATATATTTTAAGATCAGCCAGTGCAAGTTTCTTTCAGTTAAAACAGCTCAGACTTACACTTTAGTGTGGGACTAGGCTTAAGCCTTGTCTGTGAAACCGGGGGATAATGTATTAAAATGCATGCATGTATTAGATGTGAAAGCTTCAAGTAAAGTGTTACCGGAATATCTTCATTAGTGTTGTGAAGATTAATGATTTTATACGTTTGGAGCAACATGAGGCTTAGTAAATCATGACCGAGTTTTCATTTCAATTCAAACGCTGAACATTACAAACAGAACCATAGAGAATATTTGTACTTTGCACTCTATAAAAAGAATCTGCGAGACACAGTTTATCTTATGTGTTAAAACCAGTCATTACGTGTAAATATAAAAAGTATAACTGAAGTGTACGTTTATAGCCCACTGACAAGTTGCATTTAAGTGTCTCAAAACATTAAGGTTATTGACTGAAACCTATAATTGGTGTAAATGGAAGTTCGCTCCATTTCTGCGAGTGTTGCTGATTTCCAGTGACATGCACGACAGCACGTCGGTGATCTTTAAGTCAACTTTATGCAAATGAGCAGCGACGCAATGGGAGTACAGACAGCGCTCTGAGGACTCATGAAGTTGGAAACAGCATTCGAGGAGGAACACCTGCTAGCACGCAGCACATAAACTCCTGAGTGATCTCCAGAAATCGAACGCCCCTTAAGATTGTGCATATAAACACACTGATCGAAGCTGAAGTAATAAATGATGTTTATGGAGAGCACCTCTTTGTTTGTGCTTCGAGCTTTTGCACACCAAAAAAATCCTAGATCATTAAAGCTAGACATGTTTTGGATCTGTAACAGAAGTGTGTCTGGTCTTGAGTTTAGTGAGCTTGACTTCAAACAGACGGGCGTTGCCATGATCTTCCCACTGCCCCCTGCTGCAGGAACATGTCAATCCCACTCTAAAACTTTGACATGCCGTCTTTGAAGCTCAGATGCAAAAAAGCAAAAAAATCTCAGCTAGCGCTGCAGAAATTGTTCTTTGCATTTAAATGGCACATTAGCACGGGCCAATTTTCCCCTTGTTTCCTGACAAGATTGAGATGCTCATTTGTGTTGATGCGGGGAAGCATTGCTGTCTTTGATGTCAAGGTGTAATAAGACAAGCTTTCAGCCTATCAGCTTGTTGCTTCGCTCTTTTCTGACGCTCTTCACGCTGCTTTGTAGTGTGTTGATTAGAGAAATGGACTGAATATATTATTGAAATAAGAGGCAGAGGTAATAAGCTTCAATGGCAGTTCATTCTTGCATC